TTTGACCCCAAAGGAAGAAAACACAAGGAAAAATGACAAATTTGACTACTAAAATAAAAGGAAAAAATTATTTACTTAAAACAGTAATAAAAAAACATGGAAAATGTATATGAAAAGGGAAAATCTATTTTCTATTAAACAGAAAATCTATTTACAACTAAAAAAGAAGAAAAAAATCTCTAATACAAAAGTAGGCTAATAATAAAAATAGGCAAATTCTAAAAGAAGAAATATGAATGGCTAATAAACAGATGGAAATGAAAACAACAATGACTTGCAATTTCCCTCATTCAAATTGCCAAAGTGATATTTGTAATAGTAAAAGCATTATAATTGGCTTAAATATTCATTTTTAAATGATTGATTGATAAGTTGTGGTACAGTTACATAACAGAACACTAGGTAGTCATCGTAAATAATGCCACAGAAATGCATCTATGAACATGAAATAAGGTCTATGTTATATTCTGTTACATGACATACACATAGATGGGATAAGTCTAGCTGATTCAGCAGCTAAAGACATAAAGATCCAGAAATATTTTATTTTATGGGTCTTTTCTCCTCCTAATCCTATTTTGGATGAAATTAACTAAAATTAATATCAAGTGCAATCTTGGTCATGAGACATGCTTATCGGGACTACAATAGATGGGTCCTGAAAGAATGGGAGAAAAATGTGGAACATAATGCAAATTTTTATAAAGTCCACACTGCTGAACAGGTTGAGGACTCCCCAAAACTATTACCCTGAGATACTCCAAAAAAAAGTAAAAATATCCAGAAGTAGATAGGATTAAGAACACCCCAGGGGATTTTAGTACACAGCTGAAGTTGAGAAACCCTGGGCTAGATGGTTTCTAATGTCTATTGAAGCTGACTCTATATATACAGAGGGGGAACTCGCAAAGGGGAAGAAGGAGCATGAAAGTTACTTATTTTGGGGAGGGAAAGTGAGATTGTGACAAGGAAGGCTTGCTAAGCAGAATTCTCAGTCCCAAAAGACAGATTACATGAGCACTGTAGCAGAGATGGTATCTAAGAGATGACTGTCAAAACTGTGTAAGTTTTTTTTTATTATTATTATTATACTGAAGGTTCTCAAACTCCTGAAGCTGTTGCATATTGAGTTTTATTCTGCCCATTTTCAAAAGTACTTCTCAGGTATTAGTTTCTCCATCCACAAATGGATTCCCAGTATGCAATTTGGGTTTCAAGTATACAATTTGGGTTTCAAGTATGAAATTTGGATTTATTCTCTTAAACAAATCTTACAGAATCACAGAGACTTTCTGAGCTAGAACATTCTCCAGAGATTATACAACCTATATTTTTATGGCTAATATGCACAATCCTTACAGTTTATAAACCCCTTTCACATGCGTATTTCACTGGATTGCAAGTATCTTGTGAAATAGTAGGCCAAGCTGATATTATCCCTCTTCTACAAGGCTCTGAGAAGTCATGTAGCTTTCGAAAGGTTTCATAGTGAAACAGAGGCACATCCTGGACTTCAAACCTCATCAACTAACATCAAGGTTAGTGCCTTCCCACAAGACAACAAAAACCCTGAGTCTCAGTAAAAAGCAAACTATGGAGGAATTTATCACAGATCTGGAAAGTCCTACCACAGTATGTTCTTTCTTTCCCATACAACACTAGTAGACATCCTCATGAGAAGCTCCATGAAAACTGGAGGAAAATAATGTATGATTTGTATCATTCTGATCACATTGACTTGGTTACACTGTGGTAACAAATAATCTCCAAAATATCAGTGACTTAAAATAACACAAGATCATTTATTCTTCAGGCTACCTGTCCATCATGAATAGGTGAGGCACTCAGTGCCCAGGCCAAGGGAGCCCCATCTCCACTGTCACTGATGTTGTGCTAGAGGAACAAAAGGAATTCTAGAGGATCACAAAGTGTAGGTTAAATACTCCTGTGAATTACACTTCTACACACAACTCACTGGTCAGAACTCTTGGTTGAAAGAAGAAAACCAGAAATTTTTGGCAAACAAAGATATGACAACACAATTCCTCTTCCTTTTTAGTGGAGGCCCCTCCTTACCTGGGCCATTTGGGCAGCTGTGTCTCCTTTTGCCCCCAGGAAGAGCATTGCAAGGGAAGAAGAGACACTTAGGGGAGAAAAAACAGTTGTGTGAAAGAAGAGACCGGAGAAAAAACACATTGTGTGAAGGGCTCTCTTCACATAGTTTCTTTAAAAGATTGATGGCAAAGGTGCCATTTGCTTTAGCCAGAGAGTCCATGGTGGAGAGTCTGGAACCAGTGCACAGAGAAACATTGTATCATTGTGTGACTTGACAGTTAATGGTCCTCAAGCCTGAGAGGTAGCTTCTCAAATAGAGCCTGCAGAAGGTTGAGGAGAAGGAGTGGCTCTTGACTATTGTACAACCCAGAGTGAAGGGGGCAGTGATTAGCTGATTCTTTTCCTTCTCCCTCTCCCAGATAACTCTGCAGTTCAGGGTGAGGACCAGGTAAGGCTCGGCAGTAGGGAACCCAGAGGTTATGTTTGCCAAAGGATGTACACAGGCAGCTGGCAGCTCCCAGAGACAGCCTGACATCTGGGAGGGAGGGAGGGGCCAGGTAGACTTCAATCACTGTTCCTTTTCAACCCCACTCACTAGCTGCAGGCCACACTTCTCCCCTGCCCTGTCTTAGGCTGCCTCTAGCTGTCCAAAGATGATTTTTAGAGTGCCCCAGGTCTGTGCCTGCCCACAGCACCCATAAAGTAACTGTATGTCTCTACCTTTTTCTATTTCTTTTCTCCACCACCTTCCTATTAAAAAAAAAAAAAAAAAATTCATTTCCCACTTGCTGTGGCCTTAACTGTGCATTAGGAAAAGAGCAATATGATTACAATAATTTAAAACAATAATAGAAGCTAACATTTATTGAGCCCTTACCATGACCCACAGTCCTTGATAATGCAAATAGTTAACCAAGCTGTTGCTAATTAAAAGGCTAGAGGTCTGAGTCCATACAGAGACACCTTGGAAGAAAGGCCTGGTGATCTACCTCCAAAACCTCAGCCACTGAAAACACTGTGGGGCACAGTTCTACTCTGACACACATGGGGTTGCTATAAGTTGGAGTCAACTCAACGGTCACTGGTTTTTTGTCTTTTTTTCTATGGTCCAGGTATTGTCCCAATTATATAACAATCCTAATTCTCAAAGCAACCCTTTGAGGTAGGAATCCTTACAGATGAAGAAATCAGGTATGGAAAGCTGAAGTTTCTGATCTAAAATGGAACATTCGTGAGTAGTAGAACCCAGGGTCAAAACAGGTAAACTGGCTGCAGAAATTGCCCACATAACTGCTATGCTGTCTCTCAAAATACTTTCAGGGCAGCTTTGATGTGTGCAATTTCAGGCTATACACGAGAGCTATTTTGGAGACAAGTTTGCTCAGCCTGTAGTCAGAGAGGACAGAAAGCCCACTGCTAGAGAATTCCAGGCTGCAGTCTCCTGGTAGACCCCAGAAGGCCTCCTGCCACGCCTAGGCCCTTCCTCTCCTTACCCTAAAGAAGCCTGCAATTTGTATTCTAATTCTCCTTTCAGGACCTGTCCCCCACCCAGCTTTAGCCTCCTGGTCTTCCTGGGTAGGCTTTGACCAACAGGGTGCTTGGCTAGGGCTCTGCTTCCCCAGGTTGTGACCCTGAGAGAAGCCTGAGGTTCTCCCTTTGGGACCCAAGTGTGAGCACCCTGTTCAGCTTACATCCTAGGAGGATGCCTTCTTGCAGAAGGGAGGGATCAGGGATGGGATAGCAGGGCTGATGTATCAGAAGTCCCTTACTACCTGGGTCCTGGCTTCCCCGTTTCTCACTATCCAGATTTTATGAACAGGAATCAACAAGCTACATTAAGAAAGTGGAAACTGCTCCTGCTGCTACCACTATAGGATCCAGACCTCTATCTTTGTTTTCTCATCCTAGGCACATACGAGTACCCTTGGACAACCATGGATCTTTCTTTGCCCTCTTCCAAAGTCCAGATGAACTCACCCTTGGGCCCCACGATGAGGGAAGATACCCCAGCTTGCTTCCCTTTCTTTTTGAGTCTCAAAGGCTGTGACGCTTCCCTTTTTACCCCTTTCCAAGGCCCCTTCCTCTTTTTCACCTCCCAAGCCCGCAGAGCTCAGAAATCGGGGAAGTGGCAGAGGCCTCTTTCCTCCCCTCCCTACTCCCTGGCTCTGGGGTTTCCGCGCAACCGGGGCTTGCCCCGCCCTGCTGGGCGGGTCCACTACGCTGCTGCAGCTTCCAGCTGAGGGCCCGCGGTGGGCGGAGTCCCGGTCCGCTTGGATTTCTCTCCCTTGCCTAGTCACCTCAAACAACCTCCCTTCACGCTCGGGTTGGGCACCCAGCTAGCTCCGCATTGGGGGAGTCGGGGAGCTATCCCTCGGGAAGCTGCGCCCCCAATCCACCACCCAGAGGGTGTCAGAAATAAACCACGAACCAGACATGGCCCAACTCTAGACATTTTCCTACTCTGAACTCCCTCCTACCCACCACGCGCACAGGCTAGGTGTGGCCTGGAGCCCAGGGAGCCAGGAGCCATCCTTCACTGAAGCCTCTCTTCAGTGGTCCTAGCTTCCTGTCCCTCACCCAACCCTGCCTAGCCTGAAACTTCCAGCAGCCTCTAGGGCCCATTAATGTTAAAGAAAACAAGGGCAAAAAGTTTGCAGCACATTATTTCTACTATGGGAGCAGCGCTGTATGCGCATGCTTGGTGGGGGAAGGGGGGAGGCGTTTACAGAGGGCCAGCTGCTTTGGCCGCTGAGCAGGGCAAAGTTCGGCAGATGGGAAAAGAACTCCGGACGCTGTGGGAAAACACTGATTTTGAAGTCTGACAGTCCTAGGTTCATCCCCTGCCTACCTCCTACTTACTGAACCTCTCTGAGCCTCAATTTTCCCGTCTGTAAAATGTTATTACTGTTACTGTTGTTGCTGCTGTCCAGTCTACTCCAACTTATATGGCGACCCCGTGTATGCAGAATAGAACTGCTCCGCAGGGTTTTCAAGGCTGTGACCTTTCGAAAGCAGATCGCCAGGCTTGTCTTCTAAGGTGCCTCAGGATGAGTTCAAACCACCAATCTTTCCACAGGTAATGGAGTGATTAACCCTCTGTAAAATGAAGTGCCAATATTTATTCCCAGGGTTGCTCTGAGAATAAAATAATGCATATGCAGTGCCTAGCTCTTCCTGAAGAAATATGTGGCATCAGGATTGGAGGAAGAACCACTAGCAACCTGCTATCTGCAGATAACACAATCTTGCTTGCTGGTATGAGAGCGTGAGATTATGTTTCTATATAACCACCCTGTATGCAACCATTTTTAGTAAGTAGCCATTTGTGCAAAAAGCCTCAGCAGGTACTTCACACTTTAGTGCTTTAGTTACTGGAAAAACCACAAAGAGTCCTAACTACCTCATCGATACTCCCAAGCATTCTCCTTAGCAACAACCAATCAGTAGATGGCACAGAAATACCTTACCTAAAATAGTTAAGAAATGGCAGTTAGTGGCTTCAGCCCGCTAGACAGAGCCAATTAGGTAGAAACAACTAACAACTTGAAAATGTCAACCAAGCCTGTCATTTTCTGATTGAAACTTCCTTGTTTCTGTTGAGACCCCTATAAAGACCCCATTACCCCTGAGTTCGGGGCTCTCAATCCTGAACCGCTGCGTCGGTGATGGTTGGGGGTCCGAGCTCGAGCTTGAATAAACAACCCCTTTGCTTTTGCAGTGGAATCGGCTCCTTGGTGGTTTTTTGGGGATTCTTAATCTGGGCACAACACTGGAAGTGAAGATGACTTGAACCACTGAGGAAAATTAAAGACTATAGTCTTCTGTATGAATTACTCCTCAACATAAAGAAAACAAAAATTCTCATGGCCAAAGCAATAAGCAACATCATGATAAACGGAGAAAAGATTGAACTTGTCAGGGATTTCATTTTACTTCGATCCACAGTCAACACCCATGGAAGCCAGGGGGAGGGGGAGGAACGCTGCCACAGACTCAATTCTGACTCATAGCGACCCCTATTGGGTTTCTAAGGTAGTAAATCTTTACAGAAGTAGATTGCCCCATCTTCTTTCCACAGAGTGGCTGGTGGATTTGAACCACCAACCTTCTGGTTAGCAGTCAAATGCCTTAGGCACTGCACCACCAGAGCTCCTTACCCATGGAAGCAGCAGTCAGGAAATCAGATGCGGTCATATTGCACTGAGAAAATCTGCTGCAAAAGACTTCTTTAAAGTGTTAAGAAGCCAAGGTGTCACTTTGAGGACTAAGGTGCACCTGACCCAAGCCATGGTATTTTCAGTCACCTCATATGCATGTGAAAGCTGGACAATGAATAAAGAAGACCAAAGAAGAGTAGATGTTTTTGAGTTGTGGTGTTGGCAAAGAATACTGAAAAGACCATGGACTGCCAGAAAAACAAACATATCTGCCCTGAAGGAAGTGCAGCCGGAATGCTCCCTGGAAGGGAGAATGGCCAGACTTCATCTCACCTACTTTAGTCATGTTGTCAGAAGGGACCCTTCCCTGGAGAAGTATATCATGCTTGGGAGAGAGTCAGCAAAGAAGGCTAAGCCCCTCAATGAGATGAATTGACACAATGGCTGCAATGATGGGCTCAAGCATAGCAAGGATTGTAAGGATGGTGCAGGACCAGGCAGTGTTTCGTTCTATTGTACATAGGTCACTATGAGTCAGAGTCAACTCAATGGCACCTAACAACAACAAGAGAAAACTTTATAGATGGAAGCATTCTGAGGTTTCATTTAAAGTGTGGATCCTATTGAGAAAGGATTTGGAGTAATATTAAATTGAATATAAACTCATCAAAATATTTTTTATTTACAAGGTTGAAGAGAGATACCCCTGAGCCTTGTTTGGCTGGTTTTGTTTCCTTGGGATCAATATTTGAGCCTCCTGGATGTTTCTCCTAGGCCACGTGCAAATGTCTGCATATCTAGGGACACAAGGCAGGCTCACCTATAGAGTTCCCTCTGTCTCTAACATGTTCATGTGGGAGTATACATGTAAGGGGAGGGTGTCCATGGGTGATGTTCATGTGTAGGTTCATGTAAGGGTGCTCATGGGAATGTTTATGTGGGAGTTCACGTGGGATGTTCATATGAGGGATGCTCATGGGGTTGCTCAGGATGTTCATATGAGGAAGTATTCATGGAGGGTGCTCATGGGAATGTTCATGGATGGTGTTGATGTGGGGTATTGATGGAGAGG